TGTGTAGCCGCTTTGTAGGTCGCAAAGTGAACGTCGGATACGCGCCGCAGAACGTTGTTAGACATTTCGAATACGCCGTCGCGTTACCGGAATGTTCGGAACAGATTCTCGCGCGCGAACGTCGCCGCGCGGTGTACCGTGAAAGTCGCGCGTCACACGCTCGCCGACGCGACTGTGTCCCGGCAGCTCGTGCGTGCGCTGCGGCCCGCGTTTGCTCGCTGACGCACCGCGACGGCCGTGCCAGAAACGATCGCCGGGGATCACGGGCGACCGCCGGTCGAACAGGCGATCCGCGTCGTGAGCGCCGAGACGTCGTTCTCGACAACGGGCGGTGACCGAACGTGCGTCGTTTGGAGACGCGACCGGTCCCTGGCGCTTAGAGTGGGCCGTCCCGTCCGAATATAATGGCGAAGGCCACATCTCGGAGCCGGTCTCGCCTAACCCGTCCGATAGAACGGCACGCGTACCGCGGAGAAGTTAGTTGGGGCGGCCATATCGCGTGCCACGCGCGTCGATCAGGGCGTCGCGGAAGCGGTCATTAGAAGCTGATGTCCGAACCGACCGGTTAGGAAACGGACCCGACGCCCACTTCGTCGGCCAAGTGGGGCAACCGCGCGTTTCGCTTCGGGGATGTCCGAGCGCACGCTTGGGTTCGAGAAAACCGCCTCGGTACGGAGGAAAACAGATATTTTACACGTTCCGTAAAGTCGTGTGCATTCGTCGACGGATCGAAGCGCATCGCATAACCTTAAAGGACACGTGCACTTTTTTGTTCCGTAACCAATCCCCGGCCTTTTGAACATTAATATGGATTGAATGAACACAAACAATGAATAATTTGCAGTGATTACATAAAAATAAAATCGTATCGTTTTATTAACTGCCAGAGATCAAAAACACTTGACCTGACCTAACCGGTCCGCGCCCTCAGATTGCTAACTAAATACCCGTATAGTGTGGAGTGCAAAATTTTTATGACCCGGTTAACCGGTTTTCAAGGAAATTACGAGTCTTGTCGGTCTCGTCACTATATATTACGAATAATCAATGGAGCGGGGGGTAAGCTTAGGTGATGTCACCACCCAACGGCAAAAAATATATGTAATTGAACATCGAAATTATATATTTTAGCCAAGATGACTGAAAATAATTGATGTATTGATTAGAAATTGTTTTTCTTTTTTTTTTTTTTAGGATCCAGCTTTTAAATTACCAATTCCCATAGTCGAGTAGCGTAGGGAAAAGAAATTGACAATTATTTGTTTTACCGCGTCCCTTTGAAAATTTCAGGGCAAGGCATTTTCAGATCAAAACGGCGATGCGACGTGGCCAGAACAAAAACAAGCTGCCGATTTTATTTTCGTTACTAACCAACAGCATCCGTGTTGTGATAGTTTTTAAGTATTCGCGCCTACATAAATATACATTCTCCAGTTAATAACAAAAGCAGTTGCAAAAAGAAAAATATTTTCTAATATTATATATATAATATTTCCTATAATTTTCGCACGCGCTTTAAACTAAAGACTTTATTAATAATGGAAAACGGCAGTAAAGTTGTAGACCAGATATGCGAGATCAGTGAAGATTCCAGAGCAGTTACGACGACCAATAAAGAACTATTGTCGTACACCAATCACGCGGCTCGTATCAGTCACACATTCTCGCATCTGTATTTTTCTGTATTGCGATCGTCGCCCGAATACGTCGACGATTTTTACGACGTGGACGGCGAGTACCGGACGATCTACGGGGACGGATCGACCATAGTCGCCAAGACGCGCAACCAAGTAAAAAGTGTTCTGATGAGGCCAACGTCCGAGACCGATTATGTTATAAAATCGGTAGTTTCGATGCCCTGCAGTGGACCGTCCGACGGCCTGTTGGTCAACGTAACCGGTGACCAGTTCACTCAAACATTTGTAGTGGAACATCGTCCGGAAAGAATTTTGGGTTACGCTATTGTGGTGTCCTTGATTCGTTACGTTTCTGCGGTACCACTTGCCGACCTTCAAACACCGGTAACAATATTCGATGCCGGTGACTGCCCGGCTATTATGGGCAGTACATCGTCTGTAGGTTTAGAAACACTCGATGACTGTTCGCCAAACACAGCCGCCTGTGACGAATTCCTTCCCGAAAATGTTTCCAATGATATCACGATAAATGATACAGTCTCCGAAAAATCTGCCGACATAAAATCCGTCCAAGAACCCGTGATTTCGTTAACCCATAACACCGATATAGAACCCGACACCGCCGCAGAAATAGGTGGAACACCAGATATATCTTCTGAAATCACTTCCGTCCGGGAACTCGACTTATCAATAACCAAAGATTTAGAAATCGATTCTACCGCAAAAATACTCTTCGTCCAAGAACCCGCCTTTTCAGAAACTGAATCTGTTAATATTGTGGAACATAATATTGACGAANCCACAGAAGTAAGTGGAACACTAGATATATCTTCTGAAATCACATCCGTCCGGGAACTCGACTTTTCAATTACCAAAGATTTAGAAATCGATTCTACCGCAAAAATACTCTCCGTCCAAGAATCCGCCTTTTCAGAAACTGAATCTGTTAATATTATGGGACATGGTATTGACGAAGAAAACAATCAAAAACCAGATATATCTTCTGAAATCAAGTTTGTCCAGGAACTCGTCTTATCAATCATCAATGATTTAGAACTCGATTCCGCGGCAAAAATATTCAAGATAAATAATACCACCTCCGAAAAATCTGCCGACATTGCATCCTTTCAAGAACCCGTGATTTCGTTAACCTATAAAAACGATATAGAACCCGAAACTACCACAGGAATANTAATATTGTGGAACATAATATTGACGAAGAAAACAATCAAAAACCAGATATATCTTCTGTAATCACGTTTGTCCAGGAACTCGTCTTATCAATCATCAATGATTTAGAACTCGATTCCGCCGCAAAAATAATCAAGATAAATAATACCACCTCCGAAAAATCTGCCGACATTACATCCATCCAAGAACCCGTGACTTCGTTAACCTATAAAAACGATATAGAACGCGACACCGCCGCAGGAATAGGTAGAACACCAGATATATCCTCTGAATTCACGTGCGTCCTGGAACCCAACTTTTCAATAATTGAAACTTTAGAAATCATAAAACATGATTATGACGAAGAAAACAATCAAAACCAAGATATATCTTCGGAAATCACGTCCGTCCAGGAACTCGACTTATCAATTACCAAAGATTTAGAACTCGATTCCGCCGCAATAAAATTCTCCTTCCAAAAACCCGCCATTTCAATATTTGAAACTATTGATATCAAGGAAAATGATATTAACGAAGAGAACAATCAAAACCCAGATATATCTTCCGAAATCACGTCCGACCAGGAACTGGGCTTATCAATCACTAACGATTTAGAACTCGATTCCGCCGCAAAAAAAAACACGATAATAAATACCACATCCGAAAAATCTGCCGACATTACATCCGTCCATGAACCTGTGATTTCGTTTACCTATAAGAACGATATAGAACCCGACACTACCACAGAAATAGTTCGAACACCAGATATATCTTCTGAAATCACATGCGTCCGGGAACCCGACTTAACAAATAGCGATTATTTAGAACCCGATACCGAAGGCAAAAGCATATTCATCCAAGAACCCGTCTTTTCAATAATTGAAACTGTTGATATCATAGAACATGATATTGGCGAAGAAACCGATCAAAAACCAGTTATATCTTCGGAAAACACCGTCGCAGAACCCGCCTCCACAAATACCGCTAACGAGAATAAAGAACACAAACCTTTCACTGATAAAGAAAATATCAAAAAACATTTATGCAATTTAGTTCTGTTTTCTGCTGCCTGTTGGGTTGTGTATCGATATATCTTATAAATTCGTTGCACCCGAACCGAAAATTTAAAATTGTTCGACAGTGAATATCATCGATAACACAAACAAGTAGTCCAGTATGTTTTCATGCTAAACACAATTCACAAATTTTTTTAAGCTTAATGATGTTTTTCCTTATCCAGGTGCAAGAAGATATCACGTCCGCCAAAGTTCGGTATTTCGGTGTTGCGGCATTTCGATGCGCGTCAGATGAACGCGGTCATTTTAAAGTATTTTTTTTATTTTTAATTATTATTTATTCATTATATAGATTGCGTAATCCCTATTTACATTGCTAATCCCTGTTATTTTGTAAAGTAAAGTAACGTAAAAGATTAGGGCGGTCCTTACTTATATTTTCATTCTTTATTTATTAATATAAAAATTACGCGCTGGGGGAGTGAAAAAAGTAACAATATTCTTTTGGTAAAACGTTAATTTTGGTCATAACTACTCACTCCCTTCCCGTGTTCCTGGGGGGTTGAAAAATAACCCACAAGTTTTTTTTTATCATTTTTTCGATCTTTCATATAAATATGATACTTAGCGAAAAAATGATTAGAACGTAAATTACAGAAGATAAAATTTTCTATAAAAAGTTTAAGTATATATAAAAGTTATGTGAAATGAAATTTCTTATTAAAAATGTTATATGTCAAATGTTTATTGGATCCTTCGTTGTATTGTTTGAGTCAGATTTATTAAATATTACATATCATACAAATTATTATTAACTATTTATATACATTTGAATAAGGTGTTTTACAAAATTAAAATTGTTTATTCAAACATATTTTAATATTTTTGAAGAAAATTATTATTTTGTTGTATTACGAGATAAGATTAGATACACATTATAAGTGTATAATAGAATTATCTTATATTTTCATGACTATTAAAACTGGGCATGATAAGTTAAGGGCAAATAAGTTAATTTTATACTTATTTCTCAGTAACTGTGTATTAGTGTCCCGACGTTGTCACGTTGTTTAATACTTTAACAGCTCTAATTTTGTTCTATATATTTAATAGTTTAATACTTATTTCTATTCATTGTTCTCTTTAGGTATTTTTTTAAGATTAATAATTATTGCTAGGATATTACGTGAGAAAATATATTTAGTCGACCATTTTACTAATGAAATAACTGGAAGCAAATTACCGTCCAATATTCAAGAATTAAGAACATTATTTTTCAATCTACGCATTGGAAAACTTAACTCTTAACTTTAACGAGTAAGAATATTATTGATGGACTTTCTGTGATTATTTCGAGTGAAAATGTAGAGAAAATCGTTGCAATACCAGACTTAGAATGTGTTACAGGAAAAGAGCAAAATTTTAATTTGAATATTCGATAATCGATAAAAGTATTAATTTCGATAAAACTGCGGTAAACACTGGTCGACTAATTGGTACATGCATATTATTGGAACATTTTATGGAAAAAAATTTACTATTTTACCATGCCGTCATCACATTTTTGAAATTTTTCTTCGTAGTGTTTTTGACGAAAAAAAGGGGAAGTCGGTAGGTTCCGATGTACCCATTTTCAAAATATTCCAAAAAGAGTGGAATATTATCGACAAATCGAAATTTAAATCAGGTATTGAAAATAAAAAAGTAAATGTAATCCTCAAACCTTATATTACCCATATCGTTTCTTTTGCCCAATCAAAACTGACTGAAAATCAACCACGTGTTGACAATATAGATTTACTAGAACTTACATTGTTTTCCTTGGTCACGGTGCTACCCAATCTTTTCGTTTATCAGGAGCTATTTACCACGTAAAGTGGATGGCTAAGGAAATATATTGTCCAAAATTATATTTATTTCGCTAGTTTTAATTAACCAAAAGAGAAGAGTAAGGGCTATGTGATATTTCAATATTCTTGATCGTTGCATAAATTGAAGCATGGTTTAATGCAACGTTAGCTTCGACTGCACCCTATATTGATCTAAATTTTATTAATAAACTTTATAACTATAAAACAATTGATGAAAGTATATCAAGAGTTTCATTAAATAAATTTCAAATTATTTATGGTATTTAATTTCTGATTCGATCGCTTCAGCTTTTTTCAATAATAATATATCAGTTGAAAACTAAAAATAAAAGCAATTAATACTGTAAGTAGTCAGTGACTATCGTAACCTTTATCTGGACTGCAAAATATAATAATTTTAAAAAACCATTCTAATTGTTTAAATAAGATTGTTCAAATGTTTGTAAGTAGTTAATAATAATTTATTTGATGTATTTTAAAATATATAAGTATAAATTGTATTAAAATATGTTTTATTTTTATATTTATTAGGATATAACCATATTTTTATTATGTATTTAATGGCAAACTACCGTATTTTAAACAAAATTTTTACAATATTTAATAAATCTGACCCAAACAATGCAACGATGGATCCAATGAACATTTCACATATAACCTTTTTAGTAAAACATTTGATTTCAAATAATTTTTATTGAAACATATTTTTAATAATTTTATTCCTTCACCAAATAAATGTAAATAACTACAAATTATCAATTTGGTAACAAANATAATTGATTCGTCTGTATTGTTTTTGCAGAATTCATTCAGTTGGTTATTGATGATTGGTGACCAGAGCCTAGGAGGGAGAGAAGGTCGGATTTTATTGAGTGTTTATGTTTGAAAGAATAGTTTTTTACTATTTGATTTAGAGTTTTCGAATATTGCTGTGTAAGTGGGTAGTGGATTACGGGGTAATGGATTGTGAAAGGTATTATTGGTAATATGATCGGACAAATTTTTAATTATGGTCGAATATTTTAGACTATGGCTTTGGCGTCTAAGGTGTTCGGGAGCTTCTCCTGCGTATAAAATTATACTATCTATGGAACTTGTCCTGTAAGCTCCTTTGGCTAAGCGTATGCCTTGGTTGAGGATGGGGTCCAGAATACTTTGGACTTTATCTTTGGCCGAATTATAGATTATATCTCCGTAGTCAATTGATGAAAGTATTAGGGCTTTGTAGATTTATATAAGACTTTCAGTGTCAGCCCCCCAGGTACTGTTCCGAAGTATTTTGATCGTCTTCATTCTTGATTGGCGTATTATTTTTAATTTTTTGAGGTAAGGTCGCCAGGTAAGTTTATGGTCGAATGTGAAACCAAGAATTCGAATATTATTTGTAAAAAGAAGTTGTGTATTCATGACATTAATTGTAGGCTGAGGGTCCTTTTTCTTCTTGTTAAATATAATGCACTGAGTTGTAGTGGGAGAGAAACTAACACCAGTATTCTAAGACCATCCGGAGAGGGAGTATAGTGCTTGTTGGAGAAAACGGGTAGTTGTTTTAATTTGTGATCCGCTACAATAAATATTGCAGTCATCGGCGAAGAGGATAAATTTGACAGGTTTAGGTAGGTTTTTGCATATATCGTTTATTGCTACCAAGAAAAGAGTGACGCTGAGTACAGACACCTGTGGGAGCCAATTTTCAATGATGTGTGTTGATGAGGTCTTGTCATAGATTTTTACACTATATTTTCTATCTGTTAGGAAGTTTTTATAAAGTTGAAGAGGTTGCCATTTATTTTCCATGAGTGGAGTATTGATAGAACTCTTTTCCTCCATACAGTGTCATACACTTTTGTTACATCCAAAGCATTTGTGATAAGGTGTTGTTTATAACTGAACGCCGAGCAAATATCTGTGTAATGAAGATAAGGCGTCAATTGTTGAATGATTTCCTCTGAAGCCACATTGTTCTTTGGTGAGAAGATTGGACGACTCTAATTAATGGTCCATATTAATCGTTTGTTTATTATTTTTTCTATTAGTTTGCTTAGAGTGCTGATCAGTGATATAGGTCTGTAATTCTCGATGTCAAATTTGCTTTTGTTCTGTTTGGGGATGGGTACTACATAAGCATTGCGCCATTGCTTTGGGAAAAAACCCAGGGTCCATATGGTATTGTATAATTGAAGGAGGATTTTCAGCCCTATTGGTGGGAGGTTCTTTATAAAAGAGTACGGAATATTATCTGGGCCAGGGTTTTTACTGTTGCAGTTTAGTAGTGCTGAAAGTAGCTCTGAGATGTCTAGGGGTTTGTTGAAGTGTTCATTATTTTGATTGGGAGGCGCTGTGGGGATATCGGGGGAAGAGTATCTGAGGGTTATGAAGTCGGAATTATAGTTCTCGTCACTATTTATGGAAGTAGTGCGCGAAAGATTCAGTGGCATTTTGATGTGATGGTTTTTTATCTTGATTGTAGAGGAGGATGTCAGGAATAGAGTTAAATTTATTACCTCTGATGAAGTTAATTTTGTTCCATAGGATATTTGGGGGGATTTTGTGTTTAATAGATGAAGTAAAGTTTTGCCAAGATAAGGTTTTGCTTTTTTTTGTGATAAAGCGCGCTATAGCTCTTGCTTTTTTTAACTGTATGTGGCCCGAGATGTATTTAGTTTTTTTAAACCTGTTTAGGGTTTTTTTGTAGGATTTAATGACTTCTTGGCATTCTTTATTCCACCATGGGACGGTTTTTTTTTTTTGATATTTTGATGTGTTTTAAGCCAAAATGATAAGTTGGCTGCTTCTAAAATAAAGTCTGTGCATTTTTTGACTATTGAGTTCATTTCTAATTGATTACAATTTGGGTGTAGATCAAATGAGTTTTGAGTTAGTTCGTATTCAATAGGTCCAAGTTTGATTTTTTAAGATTCCATTTTGTGGAAAATTTGTTTGGACTAAGGTGGTTTTGATACTGGATTCCTATAGGCCAGTGGTCGCTATCGCTGTATGTAGAAAGTACTTGCCAGTCGAATAGTGTACTAGAGTTAGTATTTATAATTGTAAGGTCTATTACAGAGAAGTTTCCATTTGAAACATTGTGTCTAGTCGGCTGATTATTGTTTAGTAGGATATGTGATCACTATTCGTCTTCTAAAAATTGTTCAACGATTTGGCCCCTGTGATCTGTGTGAGTGCATTCCCAAGATGTATTGCGACTATTGA